AGGGATGGAGGGAGCAGAGGTGGAGGGAGGAGGGATGGAGGGAGCAGAGGTGGAGGGAGGAGGAATGGAGGGAGCAGAGGTGGAGGGAGGAGGGATGGAGGGAGCAGAGGTGGAGGGAGGAGGGATGGAGGGAGCAGAGGTGGAGGGAGGAGGGATGGAGGGAGCAGATGTGGAGAGAGGAGGGATGGAGGAAGCAGAGGTGGAGGCAGGAGGGATGGAGGGAGGAGGGAAGGGGAAACAGGGAAGAGGATGGAGGGAGCAGGGAAGGCTGCGGGGAGCACCGATGCACGCAGCAGCCCTGCACTGAGCTGCGCACCCGAGCCAGAACAGGAAGTGGCTAGAGCAGGGGCAGGGCGCCCCTGTTGTGCTGGGTGTCCCTCCCGAGACAGTGCTGGTCCTTCAGAAGAGCCCTGACTTCAGTTAACTGTCCCTGTCCGCATGTTCAAGAATCAAACTCTCCTCTTGGAAGCCAGTCTTGTCTTAGGGCCAAAACTGATCGTAAAGGAAGGGTCTCCTGACCCTCACTTTTCAAGTACCCCTTTAACCTCCCGTGACGTGGAAGACACGAAAATCAGAGAAGTTCCATTCCTAGGCCAAACGGCTGGAGGGAGGGCACAGGGACTGGACTGGCCACACCGCCGGCCGCCCAGAGCAGCCAGAGCACCTCCGGTTTGAACTTCAGACACCAACAACATCATCAGTATATACCATCGAGGCACGATCCTAACGACAGTATGAAAAACCGTCCCTGGAGAGTGTTTTTACTGGGGAGTTGACATACTTTCTAAATTCAAAAATTAAAATATTTATAACTAGCTCTAGGTTAATATTTAACAAAGTTCTTCTAAACCTAAAATCCTGACTTTAAGAAATTACCACGGACAAATTCAGACTCCTTGAGAGAAAGAAGTGCCATCAAAGGGATAAAACACGCGGGGGCGGAGCAAGATGGCGGAGGAGTAGGAGACCTGGATTTCGTCTCCTCTCAGGAATTCAGCTGGATAGGGATCAAACCAATCTGAACACCTAC